TTCATAATAAACTGTAATATAATAATTGTCATCATCTAATTTATTTTGACCAAAGGGAAATAGGTTTGCATCAGCAAGTTTATTACTGCCAAAAATGCTAAGCAAAAAAAAAAAAACTTGATGACTTTAACTCAATTTCCATTTTATTGCCTCATATTTCCTCTTTTTGAAGTTCGGTCATTCAAAATGTGGTAAGATTTTTGGATTTTGCCTCTGCATTAATTAAATTGGTTCACTTATTAAAATTTGTTTCAGCTGTTGATCCATTAAGTGTCTCATAAAAGTGGCTTTTGTAGGGAAAACAGGACCTGTTGTATTTTATAATTTAAAATTTTCTGTACAGACCTTCCTTTATGCAATAAGTAGTTCTTTTTAACAGATTTCTTCTCTACTGCTTATGAGGTCAAACCAGGCCTGACCCAGCATGACTCTGAGAGCTCAGCTTGGTCCTTAGCTGCAGTTTTTATCTTTCCAAACAAAATCTCTTTGTCTTTTCCCTTCCAGAGGAAATGATTCAGGTCAGAGTATTAGCAAAGAATGTAAGAATTGAATGTGGGGGCGATTTACTGGAAGGTTGTACTCATCAATGTGTCACAATGACCCTTACACATAATCATCATTGAATGGAATCTTAAATGTTGTCTTAGACTAGTTAGAGGAATGAAACAAGGCCAGAAGCTTGAAGGTGAAAGTATTATTTAGTATTTTATGGCACATATACATGAGCTGAACCTCCACAAAGCTCCTTGGAGACACTCCCTGGTGTTAGTAGTTGGAACAGGTAGGCGTAGCTGCTGCGCTATCAGGCTAGACAGTGAGCTCATGGGACTTCCCCACTGTCCTGGTCCTGTTCTGTACTTACCTACTTACATAGTGTCTGTCTGAAAGAGGCCGCCAAAAGCCTCGTCCCTTTCTCCACATATGAGTTGATCATAGAGGATTAGTGGAGACAAAGTGGCAGAGAGCCACTGCTGAGTGTGCTGGGGTTTAAGCATGCCCGGCCCAGTTGTGTGTCATCAAAAGAGTTTACTTAAAATATACGGGTATTATCTTTCTCTCCTCTGTGTGGGTGTGTGTGCGTGTGCACATTCAGATAGGCAGTAAGTACTGTTATACAATTTAGTTGTATGATGATGATTGATACTTTGAATGATACAGGCTCATCAGTAAGGATTAAACTTAGGATCTTAACAGGACGATGTCTCCCTCTCTGTCTCATTTGATCTTGATGAGTCCACTTGATTACAGGTGCTCACACACACTCACACACAGCAGATACAGTACGCGCACAGGCCTGTATCCCCTCCAGCACCCACATGCTCACTCACGCAGCTAACAAGCCTGTCCGTATCTTGTCTACCTCCCGGGTGCATTAAGACTCAAGGTAATATGACTTAGGAAAACAAGCCCCCATAAACCAGAGCTTGAGGGTACTGTGGTGACAGTGCTCATTAGGTAAGGTTTCAACTCATGTCCAGTGGTGTGATGTTACAAATGCAACACGACTTAAATGCCTCTTGTGCCACTGGGGTCGTTTTCATCCATGATGCTGCAAAGGTAGTGTTTGACAGGCAGGAATAAGTCCTTCAGTTAGTTAGTGTCTGTGTGTGACACCTCCGCTTCTTCTGACTTGATAACTGTATTTCTTTTTTCACTCTCCCTCACTTGCTCCCTGTTAGTGCCAGTGACTGAGGCTGTGGTTAGGAAGCATTCCTGGGGCAAGCCCACAGCATTCGTTGGGATGCCTGTAGTGAAGTGTGGAACTCAGCAAGCCACTCTGCTCCCCTGTGGTGCTGGCATGGTGAGTACCAAGAGATCCTGCTGGGCCTGCGGTGGTGTTGGTAACCTCGCATATGAAGCCCCTGTAGAGAGAAAAAAGAAGGGAAGAAAGAGGAAAAACGTATGCGCTCTGAGCCTTGGCATTTTCACACATAAATCTTTCAGACAATTGGGGAGCATAAATGTCGGACTGGAAGAAAGTAAATGAGGAGCTGAGGTGATGTGTCCCTGTGTATGACCATCTGGAAGAGAACATTAGGCTCTCCGCAGGGCTTCTAACTCCTCGATTCATTAGCATGCAGTACATTGGTGACTCTCACAGACGCCTCCCAACATGCATCCATCTTGCGTTTATCTTACAGCAACAGCTGTTGGAGCATGGTTTGACTTCGATATTTTAGAGTCTAAATAAAACGTAGGTTGTAACAACACTGTCTAAAACAATTGGTTGCCAAATAAACTGTTCGCCTTCTGATGGCTGAAAAGTGCAAAATTCTGAGTTTCAAAATAACAAATGGAACCATTGTGGCAATTGTTAAATATGGCACATCTCTGATAATCGTGGATTTTTCATATAGATCCAAATAATGCCAAAACTATAACAAAAATGACAGACTCATTGTGCCTTCAAATCCAGTAAAATCAAAAAAGAAAACAGGTTGCGTCAGTTACTCTGCAGCAAATCTCACAAACAAGTTCCACAAAAACGGTGTCACTCTGTCTGAAAAGGGGTGTAATACTGCTTTGTTTGACTTATCATCTATGAATGATCCTCGCCGCTCTCTCGACACCTTCCACACTTTCCTACTCCTCTTCACCCAGTGTGTAGCTGAAGTCCTTTTCATGACGAGCGTCATAAATTAAACATGGCCTCGGCTTCCCTTGTGTGTCTGTCGGTGTAAAAATAGCTTGGTTTGGTGCACAGTGTGATGCCCTGTGCACAGTCCTCTGTCTTTAATGAAGTGTTGCCATGAAAAGTGTACTGATCCTCCAGTGTGACTTGTACTCAGGCTCTGTGGCAACCGTGTTCTGACTTTCTCAAACTCCCAGAGTGACTCTGAGCTCATTTGGTTATACAAGTGCTCACAATTACCCAGAGATTTGGACACAGGGACATGGGATATTTCCATATCCCTGACGGATGTTATTTTAATTACACTGAACTGCTTGACTTTGTGCTGTGGATTTACATGTTTTTTCTTCTTCTGTGGATGCAAAGAGGGTTTCTTGGAAGGTTATTCTGTTGTACTGAATCTCTTATGTATTGAAGCCCCTAGTCTGTGGCATGGGAAACAGTATTAAATTGCACTGTTTATCAGGTAGCTGCATTTCAACACATAGTCTTTAAGTAAAGATAATGACAAAATTCTGATAAGATACAAGATAATGAAAAATGATCCTCTCTCCTCCCTTTCTGGCATCAGCCACAACTCTATTTTCAGATTGTGTGTGTTTAAAATTCTCTCCGTGGTCTGAAGAAAGTAGAGTTGTTATCTCCAATCAGCCTCATTGTGAGGCCCTAATTATATTTGATTGAGAAAAAAAAAAAATCACACATGGGAGCAAGCGTGTTAATTATAGTGTAGGATCTGCCTGTACGTTGAAATGCAAACACAAATGCATCAACACAGCTGATTAATTTAGGTGACAATGCAGGAGGAGGTAGCAGGTGTGGGGATACAGATGCTTTTCTCTTGCAGGACGCTTCCTGAAAACAAATGCTTAATATGTCATTGCCGGTGAAATGTGGCACAGTCGCTCAGTGGGGCTGTGCTGCTGGTAATGTGAGAGAGGTCTGTTTTGATTCATGTAACTCCTCAAGCCTCATTCCTCTTCGGGTCTTGGGGGTAATGGTGTGCATACTGTGCCTCATGAGCAGTGATTTGCAGGCTGATGGTGGGATTTAAAATGCAAACTGTCTTTAACTCATTCAACTTCAAAATTCTTAATTTATTTTAAGGCAATATAGTCTTTTTACAACATGCTTCACACATACCTGAGTGAATCTCCATATCACAGATGTTTTACACCAGGCAGGGTTTTAGTTATTCAAAGCCAGGAGCAAGAAATCAATGAGCGAAATGTGGCAGTCGAGCCGAATCCCCCGCAGGGAAAAACTCAATACTCAATACTGACGAGCGGATAATGTGGTGTTGGTTATGTGTTGGAACCAGATGACACAAAATAATATAATTTGTCAGGTTTTTTTTTTTTGTTTTTGGTCCCTATACCAGATGATTATTCAAATGCTTTCATCAATGTTCCTGTAAACAATTACTGATTGTTAGTTATCATACTCGAGGAATTGATTTCATCATGAACTGTATTTTGAACAGATGTTGTAGTTTATTCATTCGGCATAACTTAGTATCTCTCAACAGGGTTTTTTATTAAAACAAAAATCATTTCCTTCATGTGCCCATTTCTATACAAGTTACAAGTTCACTTGGATTTCATGCAGGTCCAGCTTCAGCTATAACAGGGATATGAAATTGCTCAGGGCCCCCAATTGACCTTGGAACAAGGATGATATGCAGCTAAATCAGCTGATGATTAAAATAGAAAAACTGTAGTTTTTCATTTTCAAGTTTTGTAATTTAGTACTTAAGTCTGTCAGCTGAACTTTCAACTCCATTCTACATACAGCTTTTGAGGATAGAGATGATTTTAATCTTATTTTGGGCTCTAAATTAAATAATTTTTTTTGAGAAAGAATGGCCTGAAAATGTATTATTTTATATTTTTGTCTCGATTTGACTTTTTCTCACATTTGTTGTTGCCAAACGGGTTTAATAACAACATTAATCTACCATCAGTGAGATAGCAGACATCATCACATCAATGCTGCACCCACGACCCGATGGAAATTGGCGCGTGTTGGTTTGTTAGTCTGTATGAGCTGTAGCACCACACACAGTCTGCAGGGGCTGAGAACAAAATGCAATCTCCTGGCTATTACTTTTCCCATCTGTGTCATTTATAAATCCATCCGCCCTCTTGCCCCCCCTTCCAGCCATTGCTTTTTACCACGTCGCGACGTGACAGGACACTTTTTTTTTTTTTTTTTTTTTTTCCCTCCACATTTTGCGCAGGTGGCACCGGCCAGGTGACCGCACGAGCCACCGTGCACGTGGTAGTCCCGGTCCACCTTCAGCCCAACTAGCACCTGTGTGTGTGTGTGATTTCCTTCAGGACAAAAAAAGGAAACGGTGAGGGGCCAGTGAGAGAAGAGAAGGAGCAGCAGAGGAGTCCGGAGCGCAGCGCGGACGCTTCTTCTTCTCTCCTCCCCCTTCAGACCCCGCCGCTCCACTCCATCTCTCCCTCTCTCTTTTCCCCTCTCTCTCCCGCACTCTCTCTCTCTCTCTCTCTCTCTCTCTCTCTCTCTTTCTCTTTCTCCCCCTTTCTTAAATTGACATTGGTCTGGCTCGAAACATGATAACAGAAAAGCCTTCCTCCGCTCCGCGTTGTCGGGCTGTCCTCAACCCCGATCACTTGAAACTCAAATAAGCAGGCGTAAAGAGGGAAAAAGGATCGCACAGTGTCCTATCAGCGGGTGCTCAGAGGGAATAACAAGAGACCTTTATACCACACACACACACACACGCATACACACACACACCCTCGTATGTGCTCTTGCGCATCGTAGATCTTAGAAAGTGCTAGTGTTCAACTACAGTGAAAGTTAACATGTATATGCACGCTTTGATACGCGCAAGCCTTGGATTTGTAGGTTTCTGCTTGGTCGCCTTTGTCCAACAGTCAGCTTCAGGAAGTAAAACCACTCAAGGTAAGTTTTCACGTCAAAAATAGATTCTTCTTCTTTTTTTTTTTTTTTTTTTTTGCGTTTTACTCCTGATGGCTGAGAATGTGCTGTTTTTTGCCAGACTGCTTGGTGCTTAATGCATAGATTTCTTTTTAAAGATGCTTTTAGAAAGCTGGTAATAGTGACACTTGTCTAAATAAATGGTACTTTAAAAGTATTTTGAAATGTAGAGTGTAAAAGTGGAGTTTTCAGATAGTTTGTTGCATCAGTTACTCCAGCAGGCTCCTTCTGTTGACTCACACATTTTTGCAATCACTTAATTGCTTTTTTGTTATGTCAGTAAGCTCGGTTGCTTTTATTTATACAGACTTGAAGAGAGGGGTAAGAATGAGGCTCGAATTAAGTTTCACTGTGAGTTTTCTGTTGTTAGAAAAAAAACGTGTGTCTTTGATCTTCAAACAGCATCAGCAGTGTGAACAGTTATGTTATATAGCTAATCCTGCAGGTAATTGTAGTGAGACTACCAGGAGGTATTTGTCACAGTCCAGACAAGTATTTGACACCGGCCTGTAACACACACACACACACGCACGGAGGGAGTCTCTTGTGTGTCAGACACTGCAGCTACAGTACCATCCTGCCCAGCTGGCTGCCCTCTTGCTCTCTTGTCTTGTGAGAAATTATTCAGACCAGACAAGGGCAGCCTGAATCAAAAAACTCTGGCACCTTTACAGGAGCGAGAAAGACACGGCGTTATACACTTGATTTCTGATCCACTCAGCCTTCTCCCTCCAGGTTTTCATCACTTAAATTTCCCACAATACAAAGGCCAAGCCAGAGCTGCCAGAAGTATTTGCATGCAAAGACACATCATGGTTTCTGTGTGAGTGTTGATTGTGGTTGGTGATGTTTCGCACACACAAAAAGACATCTCTCGGGCGGTCGACAAGGCAAAAAAGAGAAGGGGGTGGGTGACTATTTTGCATCCTGGGTGGTCTGCCCCCACTTGTGGGAAAACTCAATATTTACATTTTGCAATTAGAACTACTTTTTTCTCACTTTATTTTCCACAACATCGATTACACACTTCCTTGTAGTGTGGAATGCTGCTGTATGGGTGTCGTCTGTAATGGCATGCACCTGTTTGTCGGTCACCAAGTGAAACGCCGTGGACGACCACTTGACTAGCTTCTCCTCCGGTTCCTGTTTGTCAGTGCAAGGCAAGCAGCTCTGCAGTGACATATTATCTGTGTTTGGCTCTGAAGTTATTTGTGAGCATATTTTGTGCCTAACTGAAAATAAATATTGTGTTTGATGTCGGTGGCAACTCCGTGGCACTGGCAAGTCTACATGCTGGGAACAATTTTGAGAACTAGAGAAACAGAGAGATGAACAACAAAAAAAAAAGAAGCACAATTTGTCAGCTCAATATTTATTCAACGCAGATGTTGCCGACAAGAAGTCTTCGTCTTTCATCAGTGTCAGTCTAATCACGGCACTGTGTTTCAGGCATCAGTCATTACTCGGGGAAGAAAAAAGAGCAAAAGAGCAGTGGAATGAGGGAGGGAAGATTTGAGGATGTGGTGGAGAGAATGACAAAGAAGGGAAAAATGAGACCGGGGGAAACAGGAGAGATTAAGGGTGCAGAGACAGACAGTGAGAGAGGAGGTTTCTTAGTGAGCGAGCAGCAACAAGCAAGGAAAAGAGAAGGAAAGGAAAGAGGGGAGCCATACACGTCATGGCAAATCACTTTCCCCTTGCAGAGTCAGGAGCTCTTCGTTAATGCAGCGGCACCAAGGCAACGGTTGGTGTGGGGCTGACATGCTGCTGTGGCTGGCTATGTTGGTGTAACCTCTGCTCCGGGGCCTGGGGGTCTAAAGACGCAGGGCTGCTTGAGCGGGGAGGAAGGCCAGATCCAGGCCCGGGACACACTGTGGGAACCGAACAGCCTTGGCAATATGAGGCCCAAGTGATGGGGAGGCTTACCTAGAGATGCTGCCTGAGTCTCCGCTATGAGCTGAGATGGAAAGGAAGAAGAAATCCCCCCGCGCCACCCCCACCTCACCACCACCACCCGCCCACCCCCCAACACTCACTCACCCCTTTCCTTTTTCTTTTTCACCCAACTCTTGCTTTGTTTGCTTTGTCCTCGCTTCCTTTCCTTTGCACTTAATGAAGTAGCTGTGCTTTTTCTCTGTCAGCCATAAGCAACGACTGCATTACACCCACCGTGTCAGAAAGCCTGCTGTCAGCCCATGTGCTATTTATATTTTTGCAACAAAAAAGATGTGCACAGCTCTCCTCTGTCCCCTTCTCCGCTTCTCTCCAGTCCTGTCCAGCCCACTTTTGTTACTTGATAGACGGCTGGATGTGTTGAATGTCTCTGAAAGCATGCAAGTGTAAGCGTACGTGTGTGCATACATGTAATTTGGACAGTGGGAGAGCGTATGGGATGTGTCTGTGGTAATTCGGACAGTTATTTGAAACTGCATGTGAGGCCACATAAAAGAACTGTTTAAATGGGGCTTTTATTTCTGCCTACCCCTTTGGCCTTGAACTTCTCCGAATGTTTTCTGTTTAGCAGGAAGAAAAAGAAGGAGGGGGGGGAGAAAATAGACAGACAGGCGGACAGAGACTGTGGCACTGTCTTCTATGAGCATGGCCAGTCATCTGGCTTTAACATTTTGACACCACTTTGGCGATCCTCTTTCATCACCTTCGCTCTTGTTTCTCGGGCTGTGTGGTTTCTGCGTTCTGCTCCTGAGTCCCGACAAGCTCGTGCAGTGGTATTTGTTGAGCTGTTACACTTATCCCCTCAGAGACTGGATGTGCCTTAAAACAAGCAGACGAAAAAGTCCCTATTTGTCTGCCAAGGTACGGTAGCACAATTCTTGGCAAAGTAATTTTTAACGCCCGGCGAATGGAAGATGTATTCAGGTCAGCTAGGAAAAAGACTTCTTCTGTCCTCATCGGGATGCTCTGTGACTTTGAGAAGTTTAGGACCTTGCGAATCAGGACATTGCGGTTCACTTATTGACCAAACTGACATGTCGCCCTTAATTTCTCCTATCTGTCCTATCCTTCTCACTATGTTATCTCAATTAAAGTGGATGAGCTCCTAACCTGTAAATGCCTTTTTCCTTAAACAAGAAAATACTCTTTCGTATTTGATAAGCGCTTGTCTCAGTCTGTCTCTTCTGTCTCTGCAGATGGCAGATAGTTGTGTTCTCTTTATGATCAGAGTCTCTGAGGCAGCTTGAGCCTCAGGGTAGCCCTCGGACACTCGCTGATGAGTGGGTGGAGGGGATCAATCCAGCTTCACTTTACCACTCAGCAGACACTCTCAGAAAAGCATCTGCCTGACAAGTGGTGCTCCAATACCACTGTACATGTTGTTACAGAGCAGCCGAGAGAGCAGAGAGATTAGTATCTTGGCATTACTTGAGTGGTGAAAACACTTGATAACAATTCTGTCCAAGAGCAACGCAGTATGAATCATGAAAACGACTTTGATCTGTGGGTGTGTTGTGAGGACAAGTGAATGTGTATGACTGTGATGAGTGATTTCAGACTGGATATTAATGATTGCACTTAGCTGGCAAGAAGTGCTTTCACTTCCCAAAATGAGGCTTCATTATACTGTAGATAGAGAATCCTTTAAAATCCAGGTTCAGGTTTATTGTGCCTATTTTTTTTCTTTCGGTGTGGCCAAACTGCAGCTTAATACAAACATTTTAGTTTAGTTTTAGGGCTGCAGCTCCATTCTGAGTCAGTAACATGTTTACAGGCACACGTAAAGTCGAAGCTGTCTGGCACAAGCTGTGACCCAAGGCGCTTCATTGGGCCTTCGTTCTGGACAGTTGCTCACTTTCATCCTGACCGCTGGAATGTAAAACCAAGACATTTTCCTCTCTGCAACAGAGTGTCAAATATTCTGGCCTCAAGAAACCTGACTTCCCCACTCATAAGTGCCCTTTCCATATTATTACATTAATCAATCTATTTCCCCTGGTACCTTTTTTTTTTTTTTAAGATGAGCTGCATATTTGCTAGAATGTCTTCCTCTGTTAAGAAAATTAGAATTTGGTTATCAGTCCACTCTGTTGCGAGGTACAGGATAAAGTTTTATTGCTCCATTTCTATTTAGGAAATTAAAAATTTATCAGCATCTCATAAAGGGGGTTCCAACATTATTTTAAAGGAATAGTTCAACATTTTAGGAAATACACTAGTTAGATGAGAAGATTGATGCTACTGTCGTGTGTATGTATTATATTTAGCTTAGCTTAGCACAAAGACTGGGAACAGAGGGAAACAGCTAGCCTGGCTCTGTCATATAGGCCTAACTATGAGCATCTCTAAAGCTCACTAATTAACACATTATATCTTGTTTGTTTAATCCATCCGCTTTCACTTTCTGGAGTCTCTGTTGGTTGCCTGGCAACTGCTTAGAGCCAAGAAATAGCCCAAACGAATTTTGCACTTAGCTGTTTGTACGGGTCAAACAAATAACGAGTTAATTAGTGAGCTTTAGAGATGCTGGTAGGTGGATTTTTCTTTTAACCTTTTGGCAGAGCCAGGCTAGCTGTTTCCCCCTGTTTCAGGTCTTGATGCTAAGCTAAGCTAAGCTAACTGGTTGCTGGATGTAGCTTTGTATTTAACGGTCAGATATGAGAGTGCTATTGATCTTCTCATCTAACTCTCTGACAGAAACGGATTAAGCTTATTCCCCAACATGTCAAACGTTTGTTTTCAAAGGAAATGGAAATCAAATTGATCACAATCACAGCTGATCACAAGTTGTTGCTTTTCCTTCACTTTGCATCAAATGGTATGTGTTTAACAGCTGCCTCATCATCTGCATGCAAATACTGGAGTTGAACCATACCTCTGTTTTACACATTTTGTATGCAGTACAAATGTTAGGTCACAGCCAAACAAAACCCTTACCTGTGGACAAATTCCCTGTTGCTCCCCAGGGGACTCCATCAGCTGTTGAGATCCCTCTGCCACGGTACCTTTTC